AAGAATTTGAGGAGAGAGAGAGAGAGATAATAAAGGACCATCCTATGTACACATAGGGGTGTACATAACGTGAGAGTAGCGCGGGCCCCACCCCTCTCACATTATGTACACCCTTATGTGTATGGCTATGTACACATAGCAATATTCTTTTTTGTAAGTCACGAAAGGTTCTATATTTTAACCAAAAAATAACTATACAAGCACCTTTTCTATCTACATTCAAATCATCAAATCCAACAAAGGATAATATTTTAATCCAGATTTTTGTCTCAAAAGGTGGCAGGATTTGTATTGTCTACAAAGTCCAATAAAAATTAGCGGCCTGCTTGCTTCACATGTTTCTGCAATAATTCATTCATTTTTCAAAGAAAGAATCACTGGGCTTACTGATGAGTGTAAATTAGACATTTTAAAATTATTGGGATCTATTTGGCATAGCTTTTCAGACTCAAAAATTTGTTTTGGATCTATTTGGTTAATTTTATAAAAGTAATTTTTAGAGAAACGAGATTTTTATTGGAAATTTACTTAACATGAACAGCAAAATTTAAACAATATTTCAATTCTTACAAAAAATTTCTTTGTGTTTAGAAAGAAATTGTGATGAAACTTATATATTTGTTTAATTCTGCAAACTTTTGTGCTTATCTTGAACACGAACAATCACGATCTGCAATCCACAGCTGTCAATTGTTCAACCTCCAATGAAAATCCACACAATGAACAAGAATGAGACAATTAGGACTTCTTTTTTCTTATGCTACCAAGATAATGAATTGTGTTGCATTGATTTGTCAAACTTTAGTAGCTTATTAATAAAAGTCCAATTGAATTTAGTTCGACACTTAAACTTAACTCTATCGAATGAATATCTCATTTAATTAATTAAACATGTTCCATTAATTAATCTAATTAATTAATTTGGCATAACTCAATTAATTAATTGTACAAGTGTCCACATTGTTAATTAATTAATTAGTAATATCATTCTTCAAATTCTACTTTTTTTGTGCGATCTATTAGGTTCCAATCACGATTACTAATGACGTGAATTATTATTTTGATATAATAAAAATAAGATAAATTAAAACATCCTTTTAATTTATCATTAATTCACCTGGATTAAATAATTCACATTCGTTAACTCAAATTGATATCTAGCAATGTGTCGGCCAACA